AAGACAAGAATATTTTTTTCTTTTTGAAAAGCGGAACATTTAAAAAAACCAAATACGGAATATACGGATTCTATAGATTGCCGTATTTAGAGAGGCCTGCCCATGCCCAAGGAGCAGTGTGACGTCATTGACGCCTTTTCCATACCAAGCACGGCGCAGGAACAGTGCGTGAGAGCAAGTCTCCCTACTCAACACCCACGTTTTGTGTCCGGAAGCGGAACGGCAAGTGGCGTATCGTTCACGCTTACAATAGGCTAAATGCTGCCACTATTCCAATCAGACGCCGATTCCTGGGAATGATGTTTTCCAGAACAATTTGGTTGTACAGTTCACTCGACTAGGTCGATGGGTATTTCGAATTGCTCCTGAGAGCGAGTGATATTCCGCTGACAGCGGTGGGCACTCCGTGTGGGTTGATCTTGGAGTGTCTGGTGATGCCCCAAGGGCTGTCAAATGTACCAGCAACATTAAATCGTCTTGTGACGTATTTGTCCAGGCCCCATCGGGCGTATGCACAAACATACTTCGACGACATCTTTGTCCACGGTCGTGCGGGGCACGGGTGGACAAATGAGAAAAACCACATCGTCCATTTGAGAGTGGTGTCCGAGTGCATGCGCACGAATAAGCTGTATGCCTTTGCAGATAAGTGCATCTTCGGAGTTGAAGGAATTCAATTTCTAGGGGCTTCAATGCAAACGTAGTCTTCGCGCGGCCCCCACTAAGATCAAGGCCATTGTGGACTGGCCGGTTTCAGAGAACCAAAAGGAGTTGCTCAAGTGGCTTGGCCTCGCCAACTACTTGCACTTGTACAGGAAGAATGCGGAATGGTGTTGGGACACCGAGCATCGGAAATTTTTGACAGGGTCAAAGACAGGCGTTGCCAGACCACGATCGTCCTTTTAGTGTCGTCTGTGCACTGCTGCAAGCAGACGCCGAGGGGCGAGATTGGGTGATCGCGTTCGATTCTCGCCAGCTTCAGGCTGCGGAGAGGAACTACGCAGTTCATGACAAGGAATAACTTGCGATGAAGTATGCACGTTTCAAGTGCAGGGTGCACCTGCTTGGCTCAAAGCCGTTTGTGATCTACACAAATCATGCGTCACTACGCAATGCGACTCAGTCGCCTCACCTCTCGCAGAGGATGGCCAGGTGGCTCTTATCTAATATAACTTTGAGGTGAAGTATGAGCCAGGAAAGCAGAATGCTTGGCAGATGCGTTGTCACGCAGGCCTCTTGCTCATGTCACGACGGTGGCGTCGTCGATGACGGATTTTCTGCACTGCATACACGGGTGATGATATGTGTGTAGCGCTGCTACAGGCTCTCGGAAACATGAAGTTTAAAAAATCGAACGAGAAGTTGTCGGCGCGTTTGCGCGCACGGTTACAGCGATATTCGCTGAGTATCCTTTTGCTGTATTATAGCACCGATTTAACGGATACACCACGAACCGCGGTTCTTCGCGATGAGGATTTAAAATATCGCATTCTCTATGAGGCCAACTTCACCTTACTAAGTGGTTATCTCGGTCGTGAGAAGATGTACAGCTCAGTGAGTTGCCACTATTGGTGGCCCAAGCTGTACAAATGGATGAACACATATGTGCGCACGTGTGAGAAGTGTCAAAGAATGAAACTCTCTTCGAAGGTGGTGGCGCCGCTGGCCAATTTACGGCTACCCTCCGGGTGTTGGTAGTCCATAGGTATGGACCTTGTGTTTGGCATGCCGAAGGACTCGGTGGGCAACACGGGTGTGGTGATCTTTGTGGACCGTTTGAGCAAGAAGCATTTTGCGGCAGTGCCGAACACCATCGACGGTGTGGGTACAACGACGCTGTGTGTCGATCGTGTCTTACGACAACATGGACTCTCGGAGTAAATTGTCTATAATAAAAACCCATGATTCACTGGGAAGGTTTGGTCGGCAATCTTCAGGGTGCTGGGCACCAAGTTGACTATGTCAACAGCGGACCACCCACAGACAGATCAGATGGCCAAACTGAGCGCGTAAATCGCATCATAAATGTTCTTTGCAGCATCTGCGCCGAGATGCCGAAGCACTGGAGCGCCATGCTGTCACTTGTGGATTTCGCTTTGAACAATGCAGTGTATGCGTCTACCGGCTACAAACCGTTCTACGTGAACGGGCTTGTTAATCCTTGCGTCTCGCTGACGCCGCCATCCCATGGCTCAGAGTTTGGTGGGGGAGGAATAGCCAAACTGCTGCTGTCAACCCCCTCATTGTCCGTAAGGAAGTCACTGACTTCCTGTCCGCTAGACTGAAAGTCCCACGACACGCTCGCGATGCGATGGCTGAAAGCCAAGACATGCAGATGGAATATTTGGAGGGAAAAGGTAGTGGAAATAATCGAAACTTTGAGGTCTGAGACCTGGTTTTATTAAATGCAAAAAAACTCCCTACACATGCAGTCTGTGCTGTCTTTAAGACAAAGCTCCGCCCACGGTTTAAGGTCCTGGCCAAGCGAGGACTTGCGAATACGCTGACCCTTCCAAGAAAGATACACACCCGCCTGGTGTTTTATTTGGGCTTGCTTATGCTGTACCGGGATTCGGCGCAAGTGAACGCGGAAGCGTTGGCGCCGAGGCGACCACCAAAAGTGCCCTGCAATTCAGAAGCTGAATCATCAACTGGGGGGGGTGAGCATGAGTGCAACGATCTCCATTTCCAACGGCGCTAGGCGCTCCAACGTAGCTCGAAGTGACGCGTTCGTCTGCTTGACGGCTAGAAGCCGCCTCGACAGAAAATGATATTCCGCAACGCGAGGCAGTCAGTGCACAAAGTGCTCCAGGCTCTCGAGGACTTCTGCATAGCGGCATACGACCTCGGCAAGATCTGAGCGGAGTGCTGATGACAACAGACTTTTACATCCAGAACTCGAATAGCTTCGGCGAATCACCAGACAGCGATCAACCAAGTCGTTATCG